CAAAGTGGAAATACCCCAACTATCCATCAACAGGTGAATGTAAACAGACTGTGGTACATCCATACAATGGAAATATTACAGTAACAAAATAAAGTAAAATGCTGATACATGCCACAATATTAACGAATCAAAATAATTATGCTGAATGAAAAAAAACAGATGGAAAAGAGCATATGCCCTATAATTCCACTTAAATACAATTCTAGAAAATGCAATCTAATCTATAGTGACAGAAACAGGGCAGGAGGGAACAGAAGGAAAGATTATAAGAGAAACAAGAAAACTTTTGAGGTGATGGATATATATGTTAATGATCTTGAGCGTGGTGATGGTTTCACAGGTGCATGTATATGTTAAAACTTGCTAAACTGTACACTTTAAATATCCAGTTTGCTGTATAGCATTTATACTTCAACAGAGCTGTAAAAAAGAGCCCAATACCAATGGATTTTATTTCTTTTGTGGATTCTTTGAAAAATACTGTATCACAAGTACCTTAATGTTGTGTGGAACCAGATTGAATCCAAGATAATTAAAAAGAATTAAACTTTGAGAAAAAATTTAATTTTATTGATCAATTTATTTGTTTTATTATCCTTTTCTGGATGTATAAGAGTAATAGAGTGTAGGATAAACTATGTCTAAGTCAATAATAGATCTATTAATAATATCAAGTAGAAGCCCTAAGTGGTCAGAAGGCATAGTGTCATAGTTTCTTAATTTCAATGGCAGCTTTTTTTCTCTATCTTAGCAGGTGTATAAAATAATAGTACATCTTTCAGCCAACGATGTCTTAGATTCAAAGTCAGAGTCACGTCGTATATCCCAAATTGGATCACTTCTCATCACCTTCACTGCCACTGCCATGGCCCAAGCCGACCGCACCCCTTGTTCCTGTGACAGCCTCCTGACTGCTTTTCTGAGTTTCACAGTTGGACCCTTTATGATCTATTCTCGGCACAGTAGATAGAGTGATCCCTTTAAAAAGTCAATCAAATCAGGTAATTCCCTTGCTCAAAATTCTCCCGTGATTTATCCCATTGAGATTAAAGGCCAAAATCCGTATAAAATCCTGCAATGTCTGTGCCATTCTTCACCACACACCAGCTTCTTTGCTCTTCAAGAGGTATGCTAAGGATGCATCTGCCTCAGGGCTTTTGCACTTGCTATTCTCTATGTCTGAAATTCTCTTGCCATTGGCTTTTTCATGATGTGCCACCTGTACCACCCTTAGATCCTTGCTCAAATGTCTTACAAGTGAATCGTTACTTATAATCCACTTAGCATTGCAACCCTCTCCAACACCCTTGGCTAGCAGCCCAATCTCTGGTTCTTCTTCCCTACCTTACTTTTTTCCCAATCTCTTCCCCTGCCTTACTTTTCTTCTATCACCGTATGACACATATACATTTTATTTGGCTGTTTGTTTTGTCCCTTTATCTGTCTGTCCTTCACACCAATATGTAGCCCTCATGAGAAAAATGGATTTTTATTTGTTTTGCTCTTTCCTATGTTTCCAGTACCTAAAACAGTTTCTCAACACATAGCATGTACCCAAGACATATTTGTTGTTGAATGAATAAGTGAACTGCTGCTGAACAAATGAATGAATGAATGAATGAGTAGCTTGTGAGTATAACCTAAAGTTCAAGGTAGAAATTTCTTTAAAATTTTGTGCTTTCTTTAAAGCATTAATATGTATGATTCATATCTACCTATCTAACTATATATATATATATCTGTGTTTTATTATGAACATCCTTTATCTCAAAATCTTTGAGTCAGAATGATAGTCCAGGAATATGTTTACCCATCATTCTTATAAATCAGCATATGCCACAGTCTGAGAAGCAAAGCCAGACATTAAGAGCTTCATTTTATTTTGTTATAAATTCATTTATCCAGTTCTTGCCACTCAAGAGAGGTGGAGAGAGAGCTTTAGGATTCCCAATAGATTTCAAAACATGCAGGTCATATACGAGGTTTGCAAAGCTGGAGACATCAAATTGATAACAAGTAGGCAGGCTATAAGTCTAAGTAGGTCTGTATAGACTTGGAAAATACATAATATGGTACAAGCCAATAAAATTTGGGGGAAAATGAGTCTTTAATACCAAAACTCAGAAGTAAGTTAATGTTAGCTAAATTTGATTATTTGTTATTGGGTTGGGGAAGTAGAAATGAAGTGATCAGGAAAAAATGGAAACAGTGAATGCTGTCAGTGGACAGCGTTTTCTTTTTGGAAAGAGTACTGGGTCAAGCTCTTTTTCTGTTGTCTGTATTTGTATTAGGCAACAATAATGTCTTTTAATACAAAGATGGTCTCTTTTTTATTTGCCAGTGAATGGCAGCCATTTGATAAGTTCCTCCTACTCTCCCTTCCTTCTGGCACTTTCTACCATGGTCTTTCTCCACTCTCCTGTTTTTCCTTTGTTCCCCCAAGGCTTGATAACATAAGGAAAAAAAAGTTGGATATAAGTTCAGAAGAAAATGAGTTCAATGTGGGGAATCTGAGCGCTAGGAGTTCGAAAGAGCATGTGGCTGGCTCGCAATCCTTTTGGCAGAGCGCGGGGAGAGACCTGGCAGAAGTCCTTCAGGCCTTCACGGGTGGAGAGCTGCACACCTGGCCTGTACACTGGGCCCCGCAGAGCAGCCGAATCTTCCCAGCCTGTGGGTCACCCACAGTCTGTAAATTTGGGTGGAAGTTTCTTCTGGGGTGGAGAAAACATAAACGAGGCAGTTTGTTCAGCATCTGCTATAGATTGTGGTGAGGTGCATGCATGTGCTGGGCTTTATTGATATAAATCATTTTGTCATGAGGCATCATCAGCGCTAAGGTAAATGAATCGATTGCATTTTGTCATTATGGAAAATCATCGGGTTGTGTATTCTAGAATTTATCCACTGTCGGTCTTGAATAGAGCAGTTTGCACTGAGGTATTTATTATATTTGCAGACCCCGAGATGACTTACAGCTCTCAATTTGCTCCAGTTTGTTCCTTCATAGTTTCTCCGCCATTCTGATGTAGGCCCTACAGGTCCCTGGTCACCCTCTAACAGGAGGGTAAGAGGAATATCTACCCAAGCAGTATGTTGAGGCTCCTCTGTGAATGAGGACAGGAATGGGGCTGGGAGGGCAGGATGTGAGAAAGAATAAAGGAAAAACATGTCCTCAGAAGGTACGATATAGCAGGTACTGCACACATGCCTGCCATCTTTTTGTGCCTAACAGAAATTTCTCGGTTCCTAGAGAAGAGCACTTATTCAGTTATGTGACACAAATAAGTAAACAAAAATTAACCCTTCCAGTATTCCTTAAAGAGTTCTATAAAAGTGACCTTCTAAAAATAACTTTTTTCAAATATATCTCACTATGATTTCAGAGATTTACAAAAGAATTATGCCTTTTCTGGTTTCCATTGTCTAAATTCTTTGATTTTCCATCTTACAGAAAACGCTACCGACACATGACCAAAGAAAAAAATCTTGCGTGAATGTACTATATCAATGTCTAACTGACCTCATCGTTCATTCTCTCTGCCAGAGTATTTAAAATTTTTTTTTCAGAATCCCATTTTTCACTGCCTGCAGGGGTGTCAGAATGTGGAGAGTTCCATAAGCTGGCACCTCCAATGTTTCGTGTATTCAAAAGGCCCTAGCCTTTTCTCCTGCCACTTCTTTCCCCTAGAGCCCAGTTCTTTCAGCAAGCTGCCTTTTCCTGACTTCTTGGAATAGTTCTCCAGTGTGCACTGCCTTTCTTCTTGACCTGCAAGTCCATTTAAAGCCACAAACCTCTCATATGTCAATTGTTTTCTTCATCTACTCAACAAGTCTAGTGAACAAACCACATTCAGTAAAGATAGTCATTCTTATTTTCCAAGGCAGAGGAGACTCAATCAAGGATCTATTGAAGGATTCCGGATAATGGCAAAATCTGGAGACAGTATGCCAAACAAGGTGAAATTATTCTAAAAACGCTTATCGTTGGGCATAAGGGCTGTCTTATTTCTGTCCGTATAGGCTGCAGCACCTGGCACAGTGATTGTCACAGAGAACAGCGTGTTCGAAAATGAACTAGGTTGGTGTGTGACTCCAATGTTGGGTTAGGTATTATGAGAACATATGCCACCTACCCTAGCAGGACCCGGCTAGGCAGATATCTGAGCTGCCCTGCTTTGGTCCACCTCAGTGCCCTACAAATGTCCCCTCATGGAATATATTTGTGGGACAATTCAGGGGAATGAATGTGTGCTTAGGCTCTGAAATCAGCCTCTGGGCTTAAACCTTGAGTCTGCTACTTTATAGTTGCATGACTCTGAGGAAGTCACGTAATCTGTCTAAGTCTCAGTTATCTCATTTTAACATGGGGATAAACAGGACCTTGCTGAAAGATTAGTTATAAGGATTAAATGAAGTGATCATCTAAAGTTTCTAGCACATACATAAATATACATTTGTTGTGCTGGTATAGGACAAACAATCAATGATGGCTTCACATAATCACTGTCTGTCTGATGTTAATTCTGAAAAAAAAAAAAAAAAACCCAACAAAAAATCAAAAACCAAAAGAACCTGTGCCCAGCACTGATCCAAGGTCAGCAAATGAAGACCACGTGATTTCACCATCCTCAGAGTGAATTTGCTCTGATCTGCCCAGGCTCCCTGCTGTATTCCCCCATGCACATCTGACTATGTGTGAGGTAGCAGCTGGGATGCAGTCTGTCCTCATGCCGGGAAACAAGCTCATCCCTGCATGCAGATCCATGTCTGTTTGACTCCTAATGTGCCTCAGAAGGAAAGGATTCCTCTTTGGGTTTGCAATGGGTGACCTAAACTAATCCACAAAGCAGGGTCATGAATCTTTCCACAGTATTTTCAGATTAGTGTTCATTTTGCTGGAGGTGTTATTCACTAGTTGCTGAGGGGAGCTAAGCACAGGCTGGCAGGGAAGGAGATAAGTCCAAGGGCCCAAAGATAGCCCCATCTCTGCAGTGTCTTACATTTGGTTGCGGAGAGCTGGGATTTATACTGCCCTCGGACCAGCCTGCAGGTGGTCCCATCTCCGTTGCAAACTCCACAGTTATCTTCCTTGGCGATGCTTCCCAGCTGGTGATCACAGCCAACAATCTAACAAGAAAGAAAGATGTGTAATTCAACCAGGTGTTTGCTGCTGGACCACAGATCCTCCCATAATCTTTGAAGAGGAATAAAACATGCTTCCCATGACGGGGACTGAATTTAGCTGGAATTTGAATCAAGCTAAAGAAAAAAAACTGCATGGGTAAAGATGTTTACAGTTCAAATAAACAAATAGTTGTGATTGGGGAGGGAGGGGACAGAAAGAGAAAGAGAAGGAGAAGCAGGGAGATAGGCAGGGGGAGAAAGAAGAGAGGAAGATCCTGCACTATTGAAAGTATAGAAACATAAATCAAAAATAATTCCCACTGTTAATAGTTACGGTTCACCCAAATCACATGCACACAAAATACAACCACAAGGTAACTGTTACAGGAAAAACTTAATGAATAATCTCCATGCTTCATACGTTCCTTAGAATGTAAGGTACACAGGGGTGGGGACTTTTTCATAGTGGGTTCATTGATGTATTCCAAGCAACTAGAACAGTGAATGGCAAATTGTAGGACTTCAATAAACACTGCTGAATAATAATGAAAGTAGCTCTTTTTCTGGCTATGAGAAGGGAAACCGAATCACACGAGCCAATAGAAGCAAGGCTGGCATACGTGTGTGTGGTAGACAAGGAGGGCTGACACGGAGGGCAGCAGAGATAACCAATACAGAGAGCCTGCCGTGTGCCTGGCCCTGCCCTGTGCCAGGCATAATGCATGTAGCTTATTAATTCTCAAAACGGTCATGTGAGATAGCCCCGTTTATAGGTGAAGTCATGAATCCTGCCAAGGTCACTTAGTTAATAAGCAGCCGAGTTCTAAATGCATCTAACAAAATACTTATAGTTAGTCTAAGTCAGGCTTAACAAAAATCACAAGTATTTATCGAGTATCTGGGCAAACTCATTTGTACTTTTATTCTTTCCTTTCCAATGTTCAAGTTAAAGAAAAGATTCAGATCCGAACTCCACCATCGTACCTCTCTAGTTCTCATTAGATCTAGTATTAAAACACTTATTTCACTCGTAAACTATTTCAACTACTGTCTTTGATGAAATAAAATGAGAACTGTAATGACTTTCAAAGGGGCTTGTCTCCACAATTCATCCTGTCTTTCAAAAATCTGATTGTTAATAAGACCTTTCTTCAAGGCCCGAGTTTTCCTTTCTGTACTTTTAATTAATAATTGCAAACACATGTTTAGACAAAGGCTAGAAAAATACAATTATTTAACATTGTGTTTAAATGTACTATGTTTTAAAATGTGTTAATGTGTATTGTTTTTCATTAAAAACACATAGGCATCTTTTAAAATAGGTGACAAAGCACCAACTCCTTCAACAGCTATACATTTTTTGAAATGCCAAGATGTCATTTAGAAAACGCAGTGCCTGGCTCTTAAGTTGGGAGCAAAGGTAGGCTAACTCCATCTGGAAAGGTTCACGTGGTGAAGCAGCAATGCCCCCCAATAGGTTCAGAGGCTGCAGTGAGAACTCATCCAACCCTGGTCCATGCAGAGCCAAGCACATGCTGATTTAGGACTTCTCTGATGTACTTCTAAATGCCTGCAGCAAAGTTGTCTTCAAAAAGAACCCACACCTGAGCTGAACAACTTTTGTACTCACTCTTATGTTCTGAGCTCAGTGTGAAATAGGAATGCAGAAGTAATTTATTTATAAAAACATCATTTAATTATTCAGCCAACAATGATAAAAGATTTGCTTATGGGTCAGGCACTGTGCAAAGAACCAAGCCCAGTGGTTAGTCTACGCACACAGGGGCCCACCCACCTGAGTCTAGTGGCAGAGGCCCGTATTACTCAAGTCATCAAATACAATAAATGTAAAATTCCAATCATTATACAAGCTATAAAACAAGATACATGGTACTCTGGGAGCATCAAACATAGAGAATTTGATCTGGTTTGAGAGGCCAGAGAAGATTTCCCTAAGAAAGCGACTTTTGGGCTGAGATATAAATAAGGACTCAGCATTAATTAGGCAAAGGGGAGGTGTTGCTGTGAAGTTTACAGTATATTTTAGTCTTGCCTAGGTACTAGCTAATCCAAAAGTAAGGAAAAAGCAAAGTGGGTCAAAAAGTCCCAAGAAACATACACACACAAAACACCACCACCAGAATATCAGAAAATTAAATCACCTGAGTATCTTTAGTAGGGTAGAATCCTTGGAGAAAACAGGACAATCTTTATTTAGGCAGTAATCAAAGAATCATTGACTCTACTGTTGTTGTATGGGGTTGGAAAGAGATGAATTTTTTCCTACAAGATACTCAGCCTTGTGGAAGCACAAGATGGGCAGTGGGCATAGGAATACACCCTCAGGTGTCTCAGAGCTAAGTAGGTTTATTTCTTAAAGAAATTTCAGGTTTATCAAAAGATTTAAGTTTCTTTGAAAAGTATTTAATAGGCTCCAATGTCCCTAAAGGAGCCAAAAAGAAGATAATCATGAAAATCTCTCTAATCCTAAAGATTTCTTGTGGTTCTAAAGCCATTTTAAGAAAAGAACAATCCAGTACCACAGATCCAAAGTAACAGTCATGTTAGGAATAGCATAATAGAAGGTGACATATTTTAAGCCTAACTTGGGCAGACCACCAACAGCTCTTAATGCAGGCTTATGGACACGAGGATATGAACCAAATCGGTTTTAACTGGGCTTTGTTTAACTTCAGAATTGAAAAGACAAACATCACCCTGACACAATTCCCCTGCCGCCCCCATTGTATCAATTCCTTTTGAAGATGCCAAAATTTCTCACTCAATTAGTTTTAAAATGTGGAATACTTTATCATCAGATAAAATGTTCTTATTTTGGTCCAAGTGGAAAATTATTTGCAGTTATATCAGGAAAATTATTGTTGACATACCTTAATCTGTTGATCTTTTATAACTGTTAGATTAATTAAAAACTAGCTGAATTTATTTTAACAGCTATCATTAATAACAGAGAAAAATAACAATACAGAAATGGGCTCGATTGACAGGTATAATGCCAGAACCTTCTGTGCCTTTGCACATGCTAATATTTCTGCCTGGAAATAATTCTTTATTTGGCAAACTCCTATTTCTTTATTTGGCAAACTTTCCCAATTCTGTATTTGGCAAACTCCTATTCATCCTTCAAACCCCAAATCATCTCCTTCTCAAAAAAGCCTTTTCCACATTCCAGAGTTAACTGCTTTTTTGCTTCATGCTTCCTCAGACTTTTGTTCATAACTCCACGTGGCAGGAATAATTGCTCGCTACTCAATATCTATCTTCCCTATTTTTCTTAGTAACAAAACTTCAATTTTATTTGGGGTGGCAATATATCCAGTTAAAAGACTATATTGCTCATTGGCTATGTGACCAAGTTGTAATTAGTGAAATAAAAGTAGAAGTGTGTGGGATTCCTGGGAAGGAGACTTAAACAAGTCGACCTGGCCGGGGAAGGTTCCTTCTGTTCCTTCCTTCCTTCCTTCCCTCCCTCCCTCCATCCCTTCCTCCCTCCCTTCCTTCTATTCCTACCTCCCTCCCTCCCCCTTTCTCTCCTGTTGACTCCAGTTACTATCTTGAAGAATGAAACAATCCTGAAAATGGAACCTTGCTTCAAGACAGGCAGAACAGAAGGAGAACCTGGCTCTGGAACGATTCTTGGACAGATTACACCTTGATTTCTTTTTTGTGAGAGAGTAAATCCTGTAAGGCAGTATTCTTTTGGGGTTTCTTTTATATATTCTGAATTAACACAGTTATATAACTTATATTGAGTTTCATCTATTAAGATGTCTGTCTCTATGCCAGATTGTGGGCTGAGAGCCCCCGCTGTATTAATTTTTGTTATTTCTGCCACTTAGCAGGATTTGACATTTGAGATGCACAATGAATGTTGTTGAATCAGTGAAACACATAACATCAAATATAATAATTCACTCATAATTTCAATGTAGGCTACAGAGAGGCAACCAGAATTTGCAATCACTGATGATACACATGTATACAAAATGTGCATGTGTGTTTATTTGTGTTTGCTTGTATCTGTGTACACAGAGAAACAGACATACCATTAAGGACAACTACAGACCAAACCTGAACCTCTGTCCTGATGCATGAACAAGAATTACTGTGAAGAGCTATACTTTTTAAGAGACTATTTCCCAAGCACCTATACTCATTACTAGTGAAATGTCATGGAAGGCAATGTTCAGGTCACTGAGTTCTCAGACCCACCCCATTCTGGACCAAATATTAAACTGAGATAATGACCACTCATAACTTTGGCAATTGCGTAGAATTCTTTTGTAAAGGATGGAAAACTAACAGGATATTCTGGCCTAACGCAGCTTATTAGTTTTCCGTTATTAGGCTCAATACTGTGGTCTAACCCCTCCCACACCCATTTAAGATGATGGCACAGTGTTGCTTACCTCCTTTCCTCCCTCCCTCTCACCCTTCCCTTCCCTTCCTTTTGCTTCTCTCGTTCCTTCCTTCCATCCCTCCTTCCCCCTTCCTTCCTTCCTTACCTCCTTCCTTCCTTCCCTCCTTCTAACAAAGTTTTTGTCTCTGGTGACATAAACTGTGAGAAATTCCAAGATGATTTATGGTTTAAACACCATTAGTGAGGACATCAACTTTTGCTTTTCTATCTTGAATATATGCTTTTTGCATACATACATGCACACAGATATGTGGTCTTCTGTCTTTGAGTAGAACACACACACTTAGCAGTGTGGGTTTTCCTTCATTCTCCTTCAGGGTTTACTAAATTTAGGGGGAAAAAAACCTCTCTCCAAACAGAAAAGCAGGACTATAACATCCAGTCCAAGTTGGCTCACAGATGTTTAGCATGTCGTGCAGGTTTTAGGCATCAGGCCTACAGTATGTGCTGATAGGGGTTTCTTCCTTTACTTTACAGAGCTGATAGCAAGTGAACAGACAGAACACAAGATTGAAACTCTGTAGACACTGAAATATGTATAATAAAATGTCTTCACTAGGAG